GCGCATGGTGGAGCACCTAAGACCATGAAGCTCATTGAGAGTCGATTCGTGTGGAATGGAATGAAACGGGAATGTGAAGATCAAGTCGCTGTATGTAAAGAGTGCCAGAAACGAAAACAAGGAGCGCATCTAGCAAAGATTCCAATGGGAAAATTTACAATTCCCGGAGCTCCTTTCGAACGCATTCATATTGACATTTGCGGAAGTTTTCGGGAAACAGAAAGCGGAAATCGATTTTTCATTTCAATCATTGATGGATTTTCAAAATTTTTGATTACTGAAGCAATCCCAGCCCAAACCACAGAAATCATTTTCAAAACCCTTGTGAACCGAGTTATTTCTGTGTTTGGACATATTCAAATGATTGTGACCGATCGAGGATCTCAATTCACAGCTGAAGCATGGAAAAAATTGATGAAAACAATCGGAATTGAGCATATGCTCACACCTGCATATGTACACAGTACAAATGGTGTTATTGAGCGAGTTCATCACACAATTGAACAATGGATCTCAACGATGATTGCCAAAGAAGAAGTTCCTGAAGAACATTGGGATCTTTATCTCCCGTGGGTGACACATGCTTACAATATCACCGTTCAAGCAAGTCATGGAAGAAGTCCGTATAAGATAATATTTGGAAAAGATCCAAATCAATTCCATGATCAATTCATCGGAACACCAAAATGGCGGTACAATTCACCTGAATCGTACTCAGAAATTTTGGAATCAACTTTGGCAAATGTCTGGAAAATAACCCGAGAAAAACTCGCTGAAACACAAAAGAGAAATGAAATTCAGTACAATGAAAAGCACAAAACAGCTGAAAAGCCAATTGAAGTCGGAGAAAAAGTGTTGATAAAAATTGGGCAACTACAATCAAAATTACAACCAAAATATGAAGGACCATTTGAAGTCAAAGAAATCCAAAGAAAGGATCTAAATTACTTGTCCGTGGAGGAAAGTTCCAGAAAGTACAGGAAGTTCACATTGATCGCGTGAAAAAGTTTGTCGAAGAAAGACAGAATGAAATGAAATTTCAAGAGAGCGATCAGGAAGAACAACAAATCCAAGAAAAGAAAGAAAAACGAAAAAGAGGAAGGCCACGTAAACAACGACCGGAGGAGATGAATACAATAGACAACGAAGAGAGAATGGAGATGACCGGGGACGGTCATCGGAACGAAAAGGGGGCGGATGTCAGCTCCGCGCCAAACTGATATTTTAGTTACTATTGTTATCATTGAATGCTTTGTCTAATCTTATGCAAATGTGTTCTCCTCTGTGCTTATCCCTTTTATTGTCGAGAAGGGGCGGTCCTTAGGATTGCCTAGGAGGACAAATGAGACTCTCATTAGGAGTCCCTCCTTCCCCTTACACTCATTTCTAATCTATTCATCTTATTGTATTACTGTAAATAAAAATATGTATCTTCCGGGTCTATGCAACTGCAGTGCAACTACAGGTCGGTCATTTCACAGGGACTCCCCTCTAATACGTTGGAGGAGTTGAGTTGGGTTGTCGGGGTGTTAGAGATGGCGGGATATCAAAAGGGATCCACTCTTTTTAACTTAACCCAAATTCTAGTCCACATCCGTTTACACCTAGGAACGTATAGGATTTATCAACTCTCGAATTGTTATTTTGCTAAATAATTAACTTTTTAAAGACTTCTAAAAGTTTAAAATAATATTTATAGACTAAAAAAGCTTAATGGATGAAAACTGGATAAAAATCTAACAAAAACACCCATTGAGCTCTTGAAAATTTGGGTATAACGTAGCTAGGGCACGAAAAAGAATTTTGGGCCGGTTCTTCTATTATTTTAACACCCGTAAGCGGTCCCTATAGAAGCGTCGCGTAGTCTAAGTTTACTCTCAAACAAACGATGAAACAAATAATGAAAAATCGGCTTTTTTTTGCCACTTTTCAATCACTTTTTTCTAAATACTGGTTAATGCTAAAAATATGTGTTATATCTCAAAAAATTACCCATTTTTTCTACTTTAATTTGATACCAAAGCGCTCAGAAATAAAAATAACAGTGTCAAGATTTGAGCGTTTGTTTGAGAGTGAACTTAGACGACGCGACGCTCCTATAGGGGCGCTATTGTTAAAGGTATTAGGTAGAATGTTTACAGTAGAACGGTATAATAGAAGCAGAACAATATTCGGAAACCGCATTGCCTATAAATGTGTGGATTTGATGAAGACTCAAGACAAGCCGGGAGGGACTGGAGGTCGCAGATGGTCACTTCAATGGCGAGACCTCCAGAGCACCCTTTCCCTCCCCGAAATCTCAGCAAATCTCCTCTTTTATCCCATCTATTCATTTCTCCCAAAAGCTATAACTAATTATGGTGAATATTCATTGAATTCACCCACAGTAGAGAGCAATGAAAAGGAATTTTGCATCGACAACAAACTCTCGATTAATTTAAAAAAATCTGATCATATTTATATTATACTAAAACTAAAGCTCATTTCCTGTATAGAAAATATCATTTCTCTTTGAAATCTTTGAAATCTCTTTGAAAGAGCTTCAGTATTCTTGATCAAAACGTTTGATATTAGAGAAATCGATGAAATCCATATTTTCCAAGCACTCATCTTTCGGGGTTCTACCTAATCAAACAGAAATCGAAAAAGAAAAGAAAAGAGATGAGTTTTCTTCTCAAGTAAACAATTAAAGAGAGACAAATCATGTTTTAGTGAAAAGAAATTGGATGGGCTTTGAAAAAGAATCAATGATGATCGACATGAATGAAAGAAAATGATCGACACATGTCAACCGCTGATATATCTTGAAAACAGGGTTTCTTGGGTTGGGTTTCTTTAGCAATAAATGTGGAAACATACAGAGACTTTGAAATATTTGGTTTCTTCGGAAACTGAAGCGATCGGTCGGTGGTTGTTTTTTTTGTAAACATACAGTGATCAAAAAAAGTCTTGATACCTTTCAAAAAATTAGCAAATTGAGTATCCAGAAATATTGGATTCAGCTCGTTTTTGTTTCATTAGATAAAACAAAGTTTAAAACTTACGTTTCTTTGTTTCTTGTTACGTTAGAGCTTTGCTGATTTTTATAATATTGTTTCTTTTTAGAGAAGCCGTGCAAGCAATACATTGACAGTCCCACAAAGAAGCGAATCGTTGAAGCTCGAAAAGCCGGACTCAAAGTCAATGTGATTCTAAACCTCTTCTCCGTTTCGAAGATGACAATATGGAGGCTCTGCGATCGGATGAAAGAACGTGGAAATGTGCACTGATTAAAGAAAAAAGGCCGACAACCAAAAACAACGTCTCGACAAGACCGGGCACTTTGCCATTTCTTCGTCTCGGCTCCGGATTTTACAGCCACAGACGAGAAAAGTTACTTAAAAAGGAAATATGGGATTGATGTAACTTCGCAAACGATTCGAAATCGACTGAAATTTCTCGGGTTGTTTTCACAACGACCTCCTCGTAAACCCTGGATGATTCTTAGACACATCAGGCTCCGTTTGGAATTCGCCCGCATCTACCAACATTGGTCGATCGATGACTGGAAACGTGTCTTGTGGAGTGATGAGACTAAGTTCAATTTGTTCAACACTAATGGCAACTACACAATCAAGAGACCCAATGGAAAACGACACAACTTGAAATACTTTCGACAGACTGTCAAATTCAATGGAGGAGAGATACTGTGTTGGGGCTGTTTTTCTTCAAATTTCAAACTTTTTAAATCACTGTATGTATCGAACAAATTAGTTTCAAGAAAGAAATACTTAAACTGAAACTAGATACATTTATGCTAACTATTGCGAAAAGTTTGACAAAATCGATCTCTTCACCACTGTTCACAGTTTAGAATCTGATCGAATGGGCGCTAAAATGAATGATGTTGCGGATAGTTGTTGATAAAGAAAAGAGAGAAAGAAGAGACTAAAGTGATGAGTCGTACACCAAAGAAGAGATCTCTTCTCTTTTTCTTTTCACAAATGAGCGAGGACACAGTGCTTATCCCTTTTCTGCAATCCTCCGTTCCTTTTCTTTCACAGAGAGTCACCACAAGGGATAGGGATTCATTCCCGTTGTAATTGAGTCCCCTAAAGTCCCATCTCTTTCTTCGTTGCTTTCTCAAGCTTTTAGTCAGCCACAAGTCGCTGGCTAGCACGAAGTACAAAAGGAAGAAAAAGATTACGAGTGAACCCCTCAAAATGAGAAGAACACAAAGATTTATCTGTTCGAGGCATATGTAAAGGAAATGTTTAGGAGTTTAGATTTTGATGAGTCGCGTAGAAAATTCTAAACACTGCCTTTTGACTGCGTTTTAAATTTACCAGAGTAAGGTTCAGAAAACTCTCAAACATGTCTTTGCAAAAGATGTTATTGAAAAATTGAAAAACAAAGATTATTTGATCGAATCACTCTAAAAGGACCCAATAAAATGAGGAAGCGAAAAAATAACCATAAAAATGAAAAAGAAAGAAAAAAAATTCAAAAGCGGAGAAGCAAAAAGCAATGGATCGTCTCTTCTCATCGGTTGGCAAAAACGCCAATGTCAACATATCGAATGGAGGAAAAGAAAAGAAAAAGAAGAGCTCCGGAAGAATAAACATTTCGAGCCATCGAAGAAGAGATCAAAGGGGAGAATAGATGAAGAAAGAGAAAAAGAGAGAAATATTAAGGGTAATGAAGAGCTCCTTTCATTTGTGTCATCTAATCCCTCAATGGATCAATTCTAGTTTTTATAAACGACACATCAAAGACTTGAGGCCAAAAAATCCAGGCAAAAATATATCACCGATAAATATGCATAATATTTCTGTAACTTTCTCAGCAATTTATTACATTTTTCCCAAGCTTTATTGCATGCAGGATATCCGATCATAAAAAGTAAATTCCAACTAGTAGCAGTTTTAAACATACAATGTTACACATCAAAAATAAATATTAAATATACGAATAGACAATCAGCGATTTCGAAGTTAGATATTCTTTTTATTTCTTCTTTAAAGACGTCGATGTGAAGAAGAAGAAGAGGTCGCTGAAAAAATAAGCATAAAATCAAACATTGTCTTGACAAAATTTAGATATAGGTAATTCGGTTTCCGTACAGCTATTTCCTGGAGTATGAAGTAGTGATACATCGGAATTCTGCGATGAAGTAGTCTGTAAATAAAAAAATTTTAAAAACAAATTAATAATCAAACCCGTGTTGATTCATTTGAAGATGCAAACGGTGAAATGGATAGTGGCGGCAATGAACATGATGGAGTGGAACTAAAATGAAACAAAAGATGTAACACAAAAGATGCAGCAAATATAAAAGTACCTTTTCGAAGATGGAGAATCAAGCAAGAGGGCTTGAATTGGCGTCAACCTAAAGTCAATAATATAATCAGTTGAAACAAACAATGGATTCAAAATACTTACAGTGTTGCACTTGTTTTTGAGTGAACCAGAGTTGGAGTAGGGATAGGAGTTATCGGCGTTGTCGAGGGTTCTAAAATATAACAATTATGCTAATTAAACGTTAATAGATGCTAGCATTTTTACCTTTTATCACTTGACACGACGAGGACAACAGCTCGTGTACCCAAAGCGCTTTCTCGACCAGTCTATCCAAATGACGCATACGAGAACCCCAGGCCTAGATAGAAAAGATTGATAAATCAAAAAAATTTCGTTACCTCATTTTTGATTGCCGGCTGTTGTGATAGGGAAAATATTTTCTCGGGAGATCCATGTTGCTCAACCGGCGGCCATTCCTTGAGTGCCATTTTCCCATGCAAGTTCGGGTTCCTAAAGCAGAAAGTCAAATGAAACAAAGCCCACTTCTATGTACCCAGTTCTAATAAATGAGACAAAATAATCCGCTGTTAGGTCTCCCATTTTCTAAAAAAAATGTAGAAAGTAACTTAAAAATAAGAAAACCATGTCAATTTTGTCCTTTTGGAAAAGTGAGTGAAAGAGGTTGAAATCGAGAAGATACACCACTTCTGAGCCATGAGTTGGACCTAAAGGAATGGTTTAAGGTCAACGAAACATTACAATCCTTTCTTACAAAGCCTAATTTTTATATTTTTTGCTCACCGTGAAAAGGTAAAAGTAGACCAAACAATCCAAACATTCGGCGGCTCATGTAGTCGAAGGAGTAAGCATAGGTGTTGACATCCGTATTCTAAAACAACCAGGTTTCGTTTTATAAAATCAAAGCCTAAACAAATTTGGTAATAACAATTGCCTGCGAATATTTTATGTAGCGCCAACATGCATGATTTGAAATGATATCAGAAGCCATCTATAAAATGATCCTTTTTTAATTAAGTGTTTTAAATCAAACCACAATATAATGTTTGGCTAAAGCATCTTTTGATCCTATCAAACTTTCGTGACTGCCATAAACCATTTTGATAATGTTTCGAATTTCCTTAAAAACGGCAAGAACTTAAGGCAAATAAATTGCTTTTTACCTGTTCATCAAATTCTTTTGAATGTTCGATCAAAACGTTCACCATTCTGTCGATATCTTCCTCGTCACACCGGAGTCGACCCAAAGGAGCTAAATTTCAAGATGACTCACAAGTTATGGGTTTCCCAAATCGATTAACTCTCTAAAAATAAACTTACCAAATGCCAAAGCCTCAAATTGTCCCACTCCGACAATGCTCGCCATTTTTGGTGCCTCATCTCGGAGATCTCGAACGTTTCTCGGTAAAAAGTCTTCATCGTAGACGGGCCCTGTAGTAAAAACTTTGATACTTGAAACAATAGCCAATAACCCAATGGTAGTCGTCCTTCCTCAAAAACACATTGCTCACCAATGAGTGTTGCTCCAAATCTAAAACATCCAAGAAAAACTTAACAATAAAAATAAAAAACGAACTTGCTAGCCGGAATCGTTCTTAACCAATCAATCATTGCATAATTTTCTTCTTTCTGTGTCGTATAACCTTCTGGCTTTCGAGTCCAACCCAGCGCGCGTGCCTAAATCAAAGAGTAATCGTGCCGAGATTTTAAATTTTGAAATGCTGAACTCTAGAAGCATTTGTCTTGTAAGAAAACCCAAGACAGAGGTGTGATTTTATAAAAATCTCTTTTAACTCGATACTTTTGCCGTGCAATAATCAACAATGATCTCTTTCTTGGCCACAGCCCAATGACAGAACGACGATCCACCCATGCAAATCTTGCGGTGAAATTTTGCTAAATCAATACGATTAAACATAAAATGTAATAACAAACTCCTTGAATATGGTGAAAGACTTAAAAGATCGGTACTCACTCCACCAGCACTTTGCCCTCCAACTGTGATATCATTTGGATCGCCTAAAAATAAATGCATTGTTAGTAAAGTAAACTTTTTTTCGTTTTTAAAATTATTCACCTCCAAAAGCCGAAATGTTTTCCTTAACCCAATCAAGCGCCATAACTTGGTCGAACATTCCCATGTTACCCTAAAAAAAGATCTCAAATAAAAAAGCAGATAAATCTAAACCGGGCAAGCATCATCTCCAGTGGAGAAGAATCCAAGAAATCCAAGGCGATATTGGATTGTGACAAGTAGCACGTCGCGGGCCACAAATTGCCTAAATTAAACATAATTTTATTTATAACAAGTAAAAAGTTTATTTGTAACATACCGGCAAAGCTTCTCGGGCGCATACCGCGAAGGGCTGTCCATCATAAAGCCACCACCGTGAATGTAGAAGAAAACCGGATATTTCTAAAATGAATATTTGCAAAAAGACTTCGGTAAAGTATATTAGTTTAAAAATAAAGTCTTTAAGAACCTTATTTTTCTCAATTGGCGGCGCAAAGATGTTTAGATAGAGGCAATCCTCGGAACAACGATTCTAAAAACAAAGTTAAAGCAAAGTCGAAATTTTTCACCATAAGCAATCTTTCGATGAAATGGTCTTTCTGCACGGAACGATCGCGATACTTCATGCATTTCAATGTGCCATTCCACGAATCAGGTGGCTCGGGTTTCTAAAAGAAAACAGTATAATAATATGGCACAACTTTAAACCACCTAACGTATCATCAAAATTAACTATAGATATTATAAATCTTATAAAAACCTTGAATCTTAGATGGTCAGTCGGTGGCTTTGCGTAAGGAATCCCGAGAAAGATCTCTGCATTACAATTTGGCTAAAAAAAACGCGTAAAACAAAAAAAAAAACGATATTTAGCACTGACCATGTATATTAAATTTTGGCCTCTAACGACACCATTGTGAGTCTGAACTTCTGAATATTCTAAAAGACAAGGCTCGTTATGTTTTAGATTCATTACCCAGCTAGGGAACAATAAAAATAAAAGAACACCAAAACTTACCTTTCTTTTTCAACCGCATTGCAGAGAATATAAAAAAACTGATTTCTTTTTTGAGTTTCTTCTATTTATAACAAATTTGTTGAAAAAATTAAATGTAAATTACTTCGCCGTTTATGTAAATCTATTTATTCATCGTTTCTCTCAATCTTTTCTTTCTCTTGAAGTGTGAATAGGTAAAAAATGGGCTAATATCTAAATGCAAGTCGAACAACTGACACCGCCCCCCCTCGACCAACTTTAGACGCCTCGTTCTCAGCCCCATTTTGAGATATTTTTGTGTTTAATATACCAAAAGATAGAAGACATTCAGGACTATCTTTTGGTATATTAAACATAAAGATATCTAAAAATAGGACTGAGAACGAGACGTCTAAAGTTGGTGACGTTTATCGGAGGAAATACGGTAGGTACACACATTCCGAATTCCCGAAACAACTCAGCTACTGGATCCTCCTTTACATGACACCTGTCCTTTCCTTTGTTCTCTTGCATTCAATAGAAATAAAACCCGAGCTTTCATTAAGGGATTATCGGCAATCTGTCTAAATGAACATCCATTCACCGGCCTAGCCATTTGATCATTTCACCATGACCAAAAGTGAACGGATTTGTCGAATTGCTTACTGGGGAATTCAGAAAATTCATTGACTTGAGTATCCCCAAGCACAGTCAAACACCAGCTCTACCTTGACATTTCCTGCATCAACCACAAATGAGTGTACTGAAGAGCCTGAGATTGCAAAAGCTCCCACAATAGTGCCTCCAACAATGCTAACAGCAGCTGGAAGTCCTTTGCCTCTAGCAAGCGATGAAACACATCGAAACAGCACGGAGACGCTGACTACAGATGAAGGTACAGAGGTGACTGTCACAAAAAGTCCGACTACAGCTCTGACCACTGAGCCTACAAGTGAGTCTACTACGGAAACGGATGGGACAAGTAGTGCTCTGCTCCAAAAGTGAACGGATTTGTCGAATTGCTTACTGGGAAATTCAGAAAATTCGTTGACATCATTGAATCTCCCCAAACACAGTCAAACACCATTTGTTCTCAGCCTTTAAATCTGTCTCAAGAAATCCAAAATCTTTTACTATTAGTTTCTCAGCCTTGAGCTGGTAACACATTTTTCATCTCAATTAATGTTTATCACAAAAAGATTAAGCACTAAAGGAAATTCTCACCGTTTGCGTGAAAATTTATCGCTTTGCCCGGCAGAGATCAAAGAAAGTCTCCCAAATACGCATTTGAGCGCTTTTTCATTTCATTTTAATGTCTTGTTTCTTTGTCTCAAAATGGGATAAAATTTTGAGTTTATTTTCGAAGGAGAACAAATTGTGAGCGCTAGAATTTCTTGTTTTTACTTTTCATCTATGAGTTTTCTAAAATTCTTCAAATTGAACAACTTATTCAACCATTATAATTGCTTTTATGAGCCATATGTTGTCTTGTCTGCTCTTTTGATTTAGTGAGTCTACTTTTGTGGTGAGAAGTTTTCAAGTGCCCCAATGGCAAGCTGTTAACATTGGACAATAGAGCTTTTAATCCAAAATTGAAAGCTTGATTTGCCTGAGCTTGCTTGATGAAAGCTTGAGCTTGAGGAAAGCTTGAGCTTGAGGAAAGCTTGAGCTTGATGAAAGCTTGAGCTTGAGGAAAGCTTGAGCTTGAGGAAAGCTTGAGCTTGAGGAAAGCTTGAGCTTGATGAAAGCTTGAGCTTGATGAAAGCTTGAGCTTGAGGAAAGCTTGAGCTTGATTAAAGCTTGATTAGATTTTAAAAATTAATCCTTCGAAAGTCTTCTTGAACTCTTGGAACACTTCTAGCAGCAACTAGACAACTCTCTTCACAAACCGATCTTAAAAGATCAGTAAAGTTTATTTAAAAACCGATCTTGAAAATGGGTTAAGAATTGGTGTCAAGAAGAATTTTTGTGTTTCCAGTTCACTCAATCGTTTACCCACTCCATCAATTTTATTTCATTTAGTAAAGTCATTGACTCATTCTCAAGTTTTCTCCTTTTTCTTCTCCACTCCAACCCATCTAATCCCCATCAAAATGCACTTGATTGGGGCACTCGATTCTTGGAGCATGACACCTTGGACCTTTCTTCATCTTTTACCCCGTGAATATATTTCGACGGCAAATATTTGTGTCACACCAAAGAGGCGATAGAGGTTAGGAGGGATTCTAGAGACCCTCCCCTCCTCCATACATTCTCTTTTTGCTATGTGTGTCTGTCAACAAGCATTTCACTCTTTGACAATGCCTTCTTGTCGGAAAAAAAGGAGTTTCGAGATTTCGAGGGCCTTTCCATTCCTTTTCGACCATAACGAGAGCATATTTGGAGTTCTCACCGTCTCTTTATTTTCTAGAAATTTTTTTGGCATGTTTATGATAGAAGTTCAATAAGATCAGTTCAATATTTTACTTTATCAGCTTTTGAATGACTGTGTGAATGTTTATTAAAGGAAAAATTGGTCTCTTGATGGTTATTGAAGAAAAAACATTGTTCTCTTGATTCTGAACTTTGAAAAGTTACCTTTTGCTATTCTTTGTAAACACTTTTTAAACGGCTAACAACTGCTAAACTGCATAGATATCTAATTCTTAGACTTTTAAACAAAAATGGATTCTTCTTCTTCCTCTTCTTCTTCTTCCTCTTCCTCTTCTTCTTCTTCTTCTTCCTCTTCTTCTTCCTCTTCTTCTTCTTCTTCTTCCTCTTCTTCTTCTTCTTCTTCCTCTTCTTCTTCTTCTTCCTCTTCCTCTTCTTCTTCTTCTTCTTCCTCTTCTTCTTCCTCTTCTTCTTCCTCTTCTTCTTCCTCTTCTTCTTCTTCTTCTTCCTCTTCTTCTTCTCCCAGGTCAAGCACCAAAAAGCCAACGCCGAATAGCATTCACCAAAAAAGGCTTTGTTGACTCACACGGCTTTTGTGATTGGTAAAGGGTACAGAAAAGGAAAAGAGATTAAAAGGTTAGAGAAAAGGTTAGAGAAAAGGTGTTCTCTTTGTGTGTTTCAACCATTTCCATATTCATTCGGAGAGCAGGTGAACGCACCACTGCCAACCACCATCGTCCATAATTACTCAACCCACTCCCACCGCATCCCCTCCCCCACCCGATCCCCTCTCCCATACCAGTTCCCTACCCCATTTCCCGTCTTTCTCTTTGCTCTAACGTCCTTTTCTCCTTTTTATTCTTTTCTCAAATTCTTTCTGGGCCGAATGAACGAACACGAGTAATGCCCATGAGGCACGGGAAAAGCTTTTCCCCTCACGGCATCATTTTACCTTTAAGTCTACACATTTTCGTATCATCTGCTTTTATATGCACCAATTTTTACGCTTTTGTAAGTGTCTTTAAATCTTCTAGTGCTTTGAACGAGCAATTTACTGATAAGACAAGACACTTTACTGAGTTTACTGACAGTTTACTGATCGAAGTAAACGAATTTTAGAGTTGTCTTTCGGTGTGACCTTACTCACGAAGAATTTGCCTCTTTTCTGAAGTAAAAAAAAGCTACTTTCTCGAGTGTATCTCTCTCAAAAACCCATCAAGCAATCACTCATTGAAATGCAAATTTCGTCTCAAACGTATTTCACTCTTTGAAATGCCAATTCTAGAGAATTCTAGAGAATTCTAGAGAGAGAATGACCGTCTTGCCTATCTAGTTTTTATTTTCTTTTGAATGGTTGAATCTTCTGTGAGTTTTTCTTTGATTCATCGAGGTCAGTTCAAGGCCAAGAACACGAATAGAATTTCGAGAAATGGGCAAAAAATGATTGAAATCTCCGATGCGTGTCTTGTTTTTGAGTGTCGTTGTTGTTTAATAAGTTATCATTGCGATATTTATTCAATTCTTAACTTAAATTCGAATTGTTTTTCACAAAAATCCGATGTTTTTCGAATCCGATTAATCAAAATGATCAGCTCAATTTTACGATATTTGAATATTGGAAAAAGAAGCACTGTAAAGAAAAAGGAGTGATTCATTTTTGGATAACAGTTCTCTTTGTTCATTGAGAAGATTTTATCACTTGAATTCCCCACTGAACGCCCACTCTATTTTTTTTTTTTTGCACCAAAAACCCATTTCTTTTTTTGGCTTTGAATTCCTCATGGCTCCAGTTTTCACTTTTTCTCTACTTGTAAAACACGATTGATTGGTGATAAAGGGAAGCAGAGTTTTTAGCATTCATTTAATCATTCAAAATCATTTAATCATTTAGCAGAGCATTCATTTAATCATCATTAATTCATTCAAAAGAGTTTTAATTAATTTATTTGAAGAAATTAGAATTAATTCTAAATCTTTTCCAGATTTTAGATGATGGTGATAAAGGGAAGCAGAGTTTTAATTCATTTAATCATCATTCATTCATTCAAAACATTTTTAATCCATTTATTTGCTTTAACACCTAAAACTCGAGTTTTTCATCTTTCAACTTTTATTTAAAAAGGTCAGGTTTAAGAATTTCCGGTTCATTCACTGGATATCGTTATCTTCTAGTTTTTGTCTTTTCTTTTTGATCTTCTTTTTGATTCTTTTCTCGTGAATTCCTCAGAACTCTCATAGAATCAGATCACAAAGCAAATAAAGTCTCTCTTTTTCTTTCTTCTCCCTTTTTTTTCATTCAAAGAACAATGCCGAACACACCATGGGCACACGTTCACTCCTTCACAAAAAGTCGCCATATTTCTTTGAATTTTTAAAGTCATTGCTAAGCTTTTTTGAATTTTGTACTCTTTCTTTTGAGTTTTGTAATATTTCTTTTGAGTTTTGTACTCTTTCTTTTGAGTTTTGCACCCTTTTCTACCCTTTTGTACCCTTTTGTACCTTTCTTTTGTACAAATTCGAACATTGCCTTCTTTCATTGAACTTTTCCCGCTAAAATCTAGATTTTTTTTTATACACGAAAGAGTTATTAATCTACTAATGACAACAAATTTTAACCAACTAACAACCCATCAACCAACAAGCGATTGTATGTATATGTTGTGTCCGATTTAGATTTCCGTCCGATTTAGATTCAATCTAAATCGGACGTCCGATATAGACTGTAATCTAAATCGGACGTCCGCGATAAGTTCAATCTAAATCGAACGGAAATCTAAATCGGACACAACATATACACAGAGAACAGTGGAACAGTGGCATTCAAAAGTTTTGCTAAAAACGAATCGAACTCAAGCAAAAGGCTCGAGCGCCCATTTCCTATGCAAGCGCTTTATCCACTATGTCATCGAATAAAGTTCGATGGATCCGTAAGAAAATCTTTATAAAGGCTTCAAATATAAAGCCGAATGGCTTCAAATTTTCGCATTTTCACCCAAAAGCTTAAAACACGTATAACTTTTTATAGAAAGCGATATTGCAAAAAAGGAAAACATTTGGAATCAGCATGAAATTCTGCGTCGAATGGTCTATAGCTCTATGGTCTATGGTTCTATGGTCTATGGCTCTATGGTCTATGGCTCTATGGTCTATGGTTCTATAGTCTATGGCTCTATGGTCTATGGCTCTATGGTCTATGGTTCTATGGTCTATAGCTCTATAGTCTATGGCTCTATGGCTCTATGGCTCTATGGTCGATGGCTAATCTTTTCCACATTCTACTATTGCCTTTCTCTTGTAAAAAAAATTCCTTACAAAAGTATCTTAAAGGGTGTGGTTAGACACTCATAAAATCTCAAGATTGTTTTTCTTGACCTTGCGCTTTCTCAAGCCGAATATGCAAATTTTGGGAAAGAGTAGGACGAAAATTTGATAAGATGACACTCCCAAATGATCGGACAAAGAAATGGTGGGAATGGAAATGAGAAAATGGGAAGAGACTTGTGGATGGGACACAGAATTTGGTGTAGAGTAGACTTGAAAGAGAACTTCTACCATAGTTTGAACGATTTTTATTTCATTGGCATTTATTCTTAGATTTTTACCCTAAACCGTTTTCTTGCTTTTCTTTCACTTTCCAAAGCTACAAGCTAAGTCACTTGCCGAAATTGGCAACAATCTCGTCAAAAAGATTCAGAAAATCTCTCATTCTAGTTTCCTTATACCTTTTCCACTATCTTTTTTCAGAAATCTTTTTCAGAAATTTCAGAAATTTCAGAAACATCATGTTTTTTTTCGAAAACTTACATAATTCTCTATTTCTTTTTATAATCCCTAGGTCAACAGTACTGATAAGAAAATTCTCAAGTTTTTTTTCTGAAATTACTCATTCAGTTTCTTTTAATTGATTCAATCGCTTACTATATTATTTGGGAGAATTTTTAGATGAAATTTACTCAAATTCTGTGATGGACGAGGATAAATTCTGGTCTCATCCGTTGGGTGGATGGATGAGGTAAATGAATGTTTTAAAAAATGAGGGGTAGGCTAATTTCCGCAATTTTTTTTTGCGCAACAGGGTCATTTGCGCAACTAGCCATAACTTTTTTCTAAGTCGATCAATCTCTATGATTTTGATTTCATTTTGTTGCACTTATTAAGATCTACAAAATGAAACCAAAATTATAGAGATTGGCCGACTTCGAAGAAAGTTATGGCGAGTTGCGCAAAAGACCCAGTTGCGCAAAAAATTTGGCGCAAAGTAGCCTACCCAAAAAATGAAAAGCTGCTTTACATCGTAATCAAGCTAGACATGTGACATCGGATCGTTAAATGCATTTTAACAAACGGCTTTTGTTTTCTAAAGCGTAAAATCACATTGTAGCCATGTTTTAGAAAAGAAAAGCCGTTTGGCATTTGGCGACCCGATGGCACATGTCTAAATCAAGCTAATAAAAGACTCTAAAATAATTTTTTTTATATAAAGATATTCAATTAAGTGATTGCTTTTCCCCATCAACGCCTCTTATCGCCGAAAAATTGTGGCGTCTTCAATCAAAAACGAAATTGGAAGTGAAAATCTGCGAACTTTGTGATGGTTTAGCGCTCAGTTTGCTTTGTTTGGAGATGTAGGTTTTGAAATTTCAAATTTCAATCAAACAATGAACAAAAATGTCTATCAAAAACCGTAATTCTTCTATTAGAACTTCTATTTCTTTTGTCGTTCTATATTTCAATTCCAAAAATTCCAAACTGTCGTTTAAATCGAGCATGTCATTTTTCAAAGCTCATTTCCTTGCTGTCTTCAACTAATGTTCGACTTCAACCAACCAATGATCTTGTGACTCCAAATCGTTTTGAGGCAGCGTTGATGCTTCCTTTGGCGTACTTGATAATTTCCAATTTGGTTGAAGCATTAAAAGCTTGACACTTTCTTCCCTTAGATATAGAAAGAGCATTGCCAACTGCATCTTCTCCATTGTCAGCGTTTTATTCTTCACCAGCTGCATCTACTTGAACATCATCATGATTCTCCTCTTGCAAGTCTTCGTTCGAATGGAGCATACCTAAAAAAGAACATAAATAAATAATCTTAAAACACAGTAGTAAAACCATTAAAGAAGGAAAATAATGTTTGCTATGCGCTTTGAAAAAAATGTTCGGGATGTTAAAAAGGGTGTCGGAGCCTGTCGTTCTATTGGAACATGTCGTTCTATTGGAGCCTGTCTTTCTATTGGAACATGTCTTTCTATTGGAACATGTCTTTCTATTGGAACATGTCGTTCTGTTAGAGCATCTCGTTATATTAGAGCATCTCGTTATATTAAAGCATATCGTTCTATTGAAGCATGTTGATATGTCGTTCTATTTTTCAATACCTCCAAAAACTGTCGTTCTAATCGAGCATGCCATTAGAGCATTGTCATCAATCTATTAAAGCATGTCGCTCTATTAGAGCCTGTCATTCTAATAGAAGAATTACGGTAATACTCATAATAAACTCTCCTCTAAACCCAAGTCCAAATAAGAATAGTAAAAGAGCAGGTGGTTTTTGTCTATGTAAACTTTGAGAGATTGCAGATCAAAACAAGGTAGATAAAAAACGTTATCTGCTATGTTTTACCTTCAATAAAACCACTAACTTCAATATTGAGATGTTCTTTTGTCTATTGTCTATTCTTTGTCTATGTTTTGTCTTGCTCTCTGTTCATTCATCCATCCATTAAATATGCAAATCACAAATGTCTCATTGTTGTCCTTTGTTGGAAATGGATATCTCTTTTCTCTTTTCTGGATCGAGATCTTATCGTGAAAATATTTCCACAAATCAAAACCCAAAAATGACATTTTTACTAGCAACGAGTCAACAATGGGGGATAAAAATTGAGAATGAAAAATCTGTTAACAAAAATTTTAGAGAGCCAAACTTTGTCGAGATTCTGATTGCCACTCCATGCACTGAGCCGTCATCTCTCTGGTTAAAACAGAAGCAATTCTCCATTCTCTTGCAAGCAATTCGAAGATTTTACAAAGTAATTCACACAAATCTTATTAAATCAACTTATTAAATCAAAATTGATAGGATCGTCTGAATCAACTCATTGTAATGACCCTGCCAGAGATTCCGCTGATTGTACGAAATCCAACAGCTGGTAAGTCTAAAGCATTCTTTCTATTTTTGTTATCGCAACTTTTCTTGCTGTCAGTTGATTAGCAAAAGCTGTCAGTTGATTAGCTATTCAGTTCATGCGTTTTAATCATCTCCATTAATTGCTTTGAAATCTCAATCTTTCCAAATGATCATCAGAAAGATTTTTTCTTTTTATTCAATCTGAGGGCACTCCCTTGATTGGAATGAAAAACGAAAGAAAGCAAAAGATTGAAAGAATGTAGAATGGTTTTCCTTTTCTCATCTTAACCGATTTCTTCTGTATTCTTCTCTTGATCGTAAAGGCATTGCGTGTATGAGATGGGAAGGAAAATGTGAAGAGAATGGAAAAGAATGGAAAGAAAGAGATGGCTTTCATCCATCAACCACCAACAACACGGTCTTTTTCTTTTCGAAACTTACGGTTATTTCTCTCTTCCGAGATTTTTGCACAATCTTGCATTAGGAAATCATTGAACGGTTTTGACTGAATCTTTACCATTCTTTCATTGTTTTCCCCAACGTTAACAACTTTACAACAACAACAACAACAACAACAACTTTAAGTTACTTTTTTGAAAATTATTGCTGTGACTTGCCTAGAAATACTTATGGAAAACGCTGTGACACTGTGGATAAATTTAGTTTATCACAAACTCTCGTTAAGCTTTCAAAACGAAATGTGATTCTAATAAAGTAGTAAAGGAATTGAGAAAAGGTAGATAAGTAATTGTTTCTTTGGAATCTGCATAGGTGTCTAACTTTCCAAAACCTGACTCGAGAAGCCAATGAATGAGCAAATGAGCAAGCAAAGCAAGCAAGTATTCCCAATCTTTTGCTGAAATTTTGGCAATAGAGAAGAGTGAAAGGTTCTAATGAATGACACAAAGGAAAAAGGAGGACCAGATTTGTCTCCTCTTTAACCCCTTGGTATGAAGGAAAGGCCAAAAGGCCAAAAGGACAAAAGGACAAAAGAGTTAGTGTAAAATTTAGAGGGGATGCGCGGAATTCTCCTCTCTTTTGATATTTGGTCTGGGAAAAGGGGTTCCATTTCCCTAATGTAACCCCCGAACGGATCAAATGTTAAAAGATCCCGGAAAACATTCTTTGTACCATCCGGTGGCATTCGGAGCCACACGTGCTACTCGAATTTCTTGCTATTAGACAACTCGTTTCACTGTTGAAAGTGATTAGTCAAGGAATTATTGTACTTTCTTTGAAGTGTATTTTGGAGAACTCATCGTGGCCCTTTCAGAACAAGATCCAGATCATCTTGTAGAGAATTCCACGGGGAATCCGATATAGTTTTTAGTTTCTAATGAATGACATTCTAATTTTTCCCTTCGAATGCAATCTGTAATGCTGGCAAAAACGGCAAAAACGCTTTTGGCTTCCTTTTGGCGTCTATTTGAGGCGTCCAGACACTCGCCTTAAACGTTCCCTGGTGGTGTAGTGGATAAGAGACTTGTTTCAAAGGCTAGCCACCCAAACTTTTACTCGGGTTCAATTCTTTCTACAACTATAACTTTTGCTTTTTGTTTATTAGGTCTTTCCATGCTTAATTTTGTTTTCTTTTTGTTTTCTTTTTATTTTTTATCGTATATTTAAATATAGATAGTTCGGGAAGATTTATTTGAACAAAAAGAATAAACAAAACTCTTTAACACACTTTTGGTAGCGATTTTCATTTTTAAATGTGTAAATCCAGCGAATTTCAAATTTATTTGCAAAGTTTATTTATAGGCAAAGTCAAATTTGACATAAACATACCGTATTTCTTCGAATAGAAGACCGGGTAAAGAGTATGATCGCGTACTCCTGCGTAGCAGCCCTTTTTAAAATTCCTTTTCGGCATAAAAGCTTTCAATCAAGTGCTATAGAGCTGGAAAATGGCTCAAAAATACGACATGAGCTAACAGATTTTTGAGCCATTTTCCAGCTCTATAGCACTTGATTGAAAGTTTTTATGCAGAAAAGAAATTTTAAAAAGGGCTGCTACGCAGGAGTACGTGATGCTACTCTTTACCCGGTCTTCTAAGAAATACGGTATGCTAATAAAGCAAAGGATTGACAGCCAAAAAAGCCAAAACATTTCCCTTAACTTTTTCCACCATTGAAACACCACAATTTTTCATAAACCATCGGCTGCCAAAAGGATCCACAAAAATTAGAGCCTTCAGTGATGCATTGTGTGTATGGTGTGCCTTCAAAGGGTAGTCCTTCTCACTCTTTTTCCTCATCAAAATGGCCATTCATCCATCCATTCCTTTTCCCAACTCTACACCAAGGCCGATTCCCCTTTCATTCTTTCGTTCTTTCGTTCTTTCATTCTTTCATTCTTTCATTGTCCCCTCCAGGCCGGATTTCTCTTTCCTTACCCACCAATCCGCACTTTTCGTGTGATACTCGGCCTTGTTACTTTTGCGAGCTTTCAAAGCCTGTTTCAAATTTTTGAATAGAGTTCTTTGAATAGAAAAAAATGTTGTAAACCTTTTAAGCTTTTTTGTGAGTTTTGTCTAGAATAAGCTTTACTTTATAAACTATTTCTAAAAAGAAACTGAAAAATGAGATCATTAGCAATGAGATCATTATCAATGAGATCATTATCAATGAGATCATTAGCAATGAGATCATTAGCAATGAGATCATTAGCAATGAGATCATTTCTTTGAGATCATTTCTTTCTTAGCACCAATCGGGCTAAAGTTTTCATTTCCCAAATCTTAAGGGTGGTGATTAGCAATTGGTGCAAGGTCATTTCAAATAAAAGCATCAACAAAAGAAATCAGAAACATTTGAATTATAGAAAAGAAAAGAAATCCTTATCATTGATGCCTTTCTCTTTTTCTCTGAATATATTTCTCAAGAGTGATCAACAAAAGAGAAGAGATGCCCGGTACCATTCCGCGTCAATCGGCCATTTCTATCAAAGAGAGAGAATAAGGAGATGTCCATACATTAGGAAAAGGAAAAGAAAAGAATTCTTTCTTTTGCTTTTCTCTATTCTATCACCTAGTTTTATCCCAATTTCTCTTCGATCTACAAGAAATGATCAACATTGGTACCTTTTCCCCCACAAATCTCTGTTTTATTGCTAATCATAATCATTTGATGGTTGTCAATTGGCGTTTTCAGTGTTTTTGATTACTACCAACATTACGGCCAACCGATGTGTACTAATGACGATTATTTTTCGTCTCAACTGTTTTTAAGGCCTTTTTTTTGATTCATTTCGCAGAAAGTTCAATACTTTGTACTAGTTTTCAAGAGGAGATTCAGGGCTATCGAATGAGTATAATAGTTTAGTTGAATTTACATCTCTGAATTGTTTCTCTTTGAATTTACAACAAATTATCAGTAAAACAGTTAACGACTACGCGACTGTACGCCTAAAATACGTCGTCATCGTGTCGTGTACGCGCCCCGCCCCCCTTGTCATTGGCGATCAAACTTTAAGCTCAAATATCTTAGTGTTGAGCTGTCCAATTTAAATATTTTTATTCCAATCGGCAGAGAAAGACTTGGCGCATCTAATGACGTCAAGAATATTGAAATTGAACAGCTCAACACCAAGAAATTTGAGCTCAAAGTTGGATTGCCAATGGGAAAAGGGGTGGGGCGCGTACGCGACGCGACGACGTGTTTTGAATTTTTGAAATATTTTGTATTTTGAAAAGGGGCGGGGCGACGGGCCTTTTATACGCGCCCCGCCTTCTTTGCCATTGGTAATCCAACTTTGAGCTCAAATATCTTGGTGTGGGGCTGTCCAATTTAAATATTTTTATACCAATCGGCAGAGAAAGCCTTGGAGCATCTAATGAGATCAAGAATATTGAAATTGGAAAGCCCAACACCAAGATTTTTAAGCTGAAAGTTGGATTGCCAATGGCATCGCTTATCTAAGTGTCCGATAACCTCGTGTTAAAGACGAGCGCACTTTTTTACATTGCTGTACCAATCACTGAATATTTTCACATTTACATGAAATATTTTGCCCTACAATATCCACCACATCCGTCACATATTAGCAAGTGTGAAGTGAGTGAGGGAAAGAAGCGAAAGCCGTGGTCCAAAACAAATATCCCCACTCGTTTTTTTCACTCCTCCCCAAATTCCTCCCAAATCTCTGAATCTTCTGCATCTTTCTTTTTTTGTTTCTTTTTCATTTTCTCATTCAATTCTCCCCTCAATCTACAGTTCTCTTTCGATTCGCCGAGAAATATTTGCATGCGTCGAGTGTTTGCATATCATATGCCAGCCCCGGCCATCCCCCCGTCAACATTTCCACAACTTCAACATTTCCAAAATTATTCACTTCTTTTACATCCAAAAACCTTTCTTCGCATTTCTTGGCATCATATTCGATTTTAAAAGTTTTACTCTTTTACTTTAGTTTTTAAAGAAATATGATGCATTGCACTTATTCCAAATATTCCAAATATTCCAAATCTTCCAAATAATCCTATTTACGACTTCTTTTCTTTCAGAAATGAGTTGTATTTCCGGTGGATTGACCCTATTTCTTCAAGGTACTTAAAGTATCGCACACATCATTCGCTTGCCAGCTGAAAAACTCGCCTAAGACCGGGTTTTTCTGGCATAGTTTCTTATCGTCGTGGCGCAAGTTGTCTACGGTCTAGTTGAGCGCGGTTGTCTACGGTCTACAGCACCCGGGTTCGACCCCCCCCCGTAGTGCCACTCGATTTTGTTTTTTTAAATTTCGATTTTAAATGGCACAACTATTCTTAAATTTTGAGATTTTTTAAAGAAATTTCAGCTTTTTGGCTTAAAGCTTTTTTGACTCAAAGACGGCTGAAAAGCCTGTACAAACGGAGGGACAGACAGACAGTGCTCTTTTATATATAGTAGATTGAATTATTCTATTTTAATGGTGTCTATCAAGAAGTTCTAAAGTTTTTGGTAATGGTACCCTAATTATTTGCCTAGATTCTAATGGTTGTTTGATGGGAGTATTGAACGGGAAAGTGTTGGTGTGACCTGAGG